AGGTGTAGATGTGGTAGGCTTGGGTGGGGTTGAGTTCCATTTGAACGTTCCTGGCAACATGAAACCTGTTTCCCAACAAACTCGCAACAGCATCGCCTCACTCGTCGACCATGGCCTCTCGACGCGTCGAATTGCAGCCCAGCTTGGCATAAGCTATAGCACCGTATCCCGGGTGCATTCTCAAGTCAGAACTGATGCATCAAAGAGCAATGGTGGGCGTCCATCCAAGCTTTCCGCCGCCAACTAGCGCAGAGTCATCAGGATGGTGACATCAGGTCAGGTTGACACAGCAGTGCAAGTGACGAGGCAGCTCAAAAGCAGCACCTCGGTAGAATGCAGGGCCAAAACTGTTCGCAGAGCTCTGAAAGAAGCTGGTCTGAGGGCAACAACCAAGCGAAAGAAGCCGCAACTCCAGCCGCTGCATATCCGACAGCGGCTAGAATTCGCCCGCCGCCACCAACACTGGACTGTAGAGGACTGGAAACGCATAATTTGGTCAGACGAGACAAAAATCAACCTTATGAGGTCGGATGGGCATGATTGGACATGGAAACAGCCCAGCGATGCCCTAGCAGAGTGGCATGTGAGGGAGACCTGCGAGTATGGTGGAGGTGGCCTGATGTTTTGGGGCTGCATGACGGCCAAAGGAGTCGGGTTTGGCTGTCAAATCCAAGGATCAATGGATGCCAGGTTCTATACAAGTATCCTTGAGGGAAAATTGCTCCAGACACTGGCGCATTACCGCCTCGAAGTGAGAGAGGTGATGTTTCAGCAGGACAATGATCTGAAACACACCTCACGGCTGGCTCGCCAATGGTTCCAGGACCATGGAATCGAGGTCCAAGAATGGCCAGCACAGTCGCCAGACCTCAACCCAATAGAGCATTTGTGAGCATTTGAAGCGGAGGCTGGCGAGGTACGAGAATGAGCCCGTCAGCATCCACGAGCTCTGGCAGCGGGTCAAGACTGAGTAGGACGCCATTCCAGTCCAAACATGCTTGGATTTGATTGAAAGCATGCCTAGAAGGGTTCAGGGAGTGTTGAAGGCCAAAGGCAAGCACACAAATTCGTTTTTTTGTATGCCTGAGTGAAAGGGACAAAACTGTTGCAATGTTCGCTTTGAACAACTGCCACTTAGACAATAGGTAGCCAATTGACATGTGACTAGTGCCAATCGAAAGCCAGGAAGTAGGAGTATGATTGACTGAAATTTAAGCTAAATTGAACACATCATACTCAAGATATGAGTCATAAACTGGCAATGTGTCGAACATTGCAACAGTTTTGTCCCTCACTGTATATCTAGCACCCTATAGTGTGGTTTTTATAAGTATTTCAAACCTTTCACATTTTTGTGGCCCACCCTGTATAAAGTACTTGATATCATGACAGTTGATGCTAGATATTCTACCTCCTGACACATAGTACAAGACGCATAGTGCAAGATGGTATGGAACCTTGAAAGGGTTAATATCAGTTATCATATCCTGTCATGCATCATAAGGCCAAGCATTATTACATCTCTTTTGTAAGGATCTATCACATGTCTCTAAACTGGCAAATTCTGCTTTGTATATTCCAGTAGTGAAAATAAAATTTTTCCCATTTTATTTATTTATTTTCTGGTTTTTACCTACAGAAGTAAAAAAAATCAATTTAAAATGTTTAATTTTCACTCTGCTATGTCTTTATTCAAGTTTGAGAACAGCTTTATCAAAACTTTTAAATATATTTTCCAAATTTTCATACCATAATCAAAGCTATTTGGTGAAATAGTGGAAGCTCATCAATACCAATGCCTTCCTTTGCTGCCAATTCACTATGAAGTACTATTTCTATCACTCAGGAAATGCATCCCTCTCAATTTGCAGTTGACTTGATAATGATTTTCCCAATCATTATCAAAGTTATTCCTTTGCTATGTGTGAAAGTTTACACAGCTTCTTTGTGCCTCACTCAAAAACCAGCCCTTGCTGGTTTTTAGTTTTCCAACATATTTTGCACTGCTTTTGTGTTCTTTCATTCTTTTGCTTTTAAATAAAGCTTAGATTTTTTTTTCTTCTGCAATTTTTGGACCATTTTTTTATTCATTCAAATTGTGTCAGCTGTTTTCTGTGCTTCTTACATATTATTTTCTTAAATAAATTGTTACCCGTAAATTGAGGAAATGGGTTTTCACCAGGTAAAGTATGACACCTGGTTGTAGTGGTCTCTTGTCATCATGCTGACAAATTATTCTTTGCAGCATCACAGCCTGCAAATTTAATTAGGTCAAGGGTTGATTTCATTTTGCTTGTGAAGTGCAGAGGATTAATTTAACTGGGAATATTGCATTTGGTATCCAGCATCACTGTTCTCTTCCATCTGACATATCTTGACCTGGCCAATGTGAAGAACTTGTTGCATTTCATAATGGAGGAGCTTAAATTTTTCATGGTAACATGGTGTTGACTGGTTTTACAGTGGTTTCTATGTTGGTTGCACCATCCTTTCCCATTCTTTTTGTATGCCAGTAAACTCTTTCTTTTGGTACTTACATTAATACTTAGTCATGTATAGTTTCCATTTGCATGTGTTCTGTGTTGCAGGAATGCCTTGGTAAAATGATAAATGATGCCATTTCTATGTCTGCCCTTCTCCTCCCCCCCCCCCCTCAACATCAACATGGGAGAGTAGAACTGTTAAAACAGAAACACTAAAAAAAAGATGGACTGTCTTTTTTTGTTCAGTTCATTAAGACCTCTCCCAAGAGCACCATTTATGGCCCTTTTATTACCAGGCTGCCAGAAGATTTCCAGTCTGGACAGATACGGGGCTCACATTTCACTGTCCCACTCATTGTTTCTATGTCTTGGAGTGTTTTTTTTTTTTCCAGTGTAACTTTTCTCCCTCTTTCTGTTTGAGTGATTCTCAAGAATCCTGTACTCTTTAGAGTATGGGTCTTCCGCTCTTGGGGTCGAGTGGGAACAACCATTGGCAGCACCAAACTTGAAGAGTTTGAGACTGAGGAAGAGGCCATTGACCAGTTTCAGTCCCTTTATGAACAGAAGACTGGAAATTCCTTTCACCGTCGTGACGATTTCCAGAAACTCCCTGGCAAATACTATCCTCTTGAAATTGACTTTGGACATGTAAGTGTTGAGTTGTGTGCTTGTGTTCCTTTCTCATATGCACTTATAAATTGTAATGAGAATATGGACCATTGTTTTGCTGAGCAGGAATCAGAGGAGGTGAAGAAGCTGAGCATTCAGAAGTCAACTTCAAAACTACCCAAGCCCATCCAAGAATTGATCTGTCTACTGTTTGATGTCGACAATATGAAAAAGGCTCTCCTAGAGTTTGAGGTTATTCTTGACCAGCAGTCTCTTTTGGTTGATTGTTTTTCAAATTTGCATTTGCAAAAAAGTTGCTTGGTCATCAGCAGAAAAGCATATCTCTTTGCCATTCTTTAAATGGAGGCTACTGGTGCAAAAAGAAAAATGTTCTCCTTTTTGTCAAGACAGCCCTTTGATTCCATTGCTTGGAATGTTTAGAGAAACAGTCTCATGATTGGTTTAGTAACACTCAACAGATGAAAGTGGGTTTGAGTATTGATAGAATTGAAAGCCTGATGGCTTGATAAACTAACTATTTGCCCATAATATTGGGAAAATGTCATGTTTTGATTCCAGAGAGTTCAGCTTGGAATTCTCCTCACAGTCTTGCTTGAATAATTCACCATATTCATGTATAGGCCCCCAGTCAGTGTTGCTATTAGATGATTCCTCTTTTTCTGTCAGTGAAGATTTCACTGTGACAGAAGAGCTCACCATTCAACAACCAATCATTGCGCATTTTTTGGCATAGAGCAAATCAATAAACAGCAAGTTTTTGTAGGTTTGTTATTTTTCCTGTTAGGTAAATATGGGGTAAATAGCCTTTCAGAGAACCTGGCATAGAGACTTTGAATGGGAATATCTGACCAATGACTACAGATTACATATACTGTTCAGGTGTGAATGCTACTTTGCTTCCTACTTTGATGAAATGGAGGATCACCATTGACTTCGCTTTATTCTGCTTCTGGCAAAAAAAAATTGCTGAACCTCCAAGAAATCTGCATAATTCATGTAGAATGTGTATATTGCTAGAGTGGATGGAGGGAAAGCCATATACCTTTCAGGATAAATATTTATATCCATTCTCCATAGCACTGTCATCAACTTGGTTTTGTGGCTACTGGCAGTTGAAGAAAAAGTTTTTGGAAAACTTCCAAGGAAATTGTAAAATGGGAATTTCCTTTCCAAGGGAGGGATGTTCCTTGTTGGAATGATAATCCATTGCTGCAAATGCAGTAAAGTGTTTAACATGAAATATATTTTATTGTAAGTTGATCTTTTGTGCTCAATGATCTGTGCAAGCAGTTTGGAGGCAAACGTTGCTTTTTCACAATGGTGACTTTATTTATTCTTGTTTTCATTGGTTTGATCTCTTTGGCTACTTTTCTGGAGCAGTTTATTGAATATTCTTACCATTGCCTATTGGAAAGTGAAGCAATATTCAATGTAAATGCCTGTATTTGGAGGAAAGGGGAAGAGTGGGTGGACTCCTGGATTCAGTGATGGGTGGTGCCATCATGCTTTCAATGGTTCATGTTTCTATAATGGGTTTATATCAGCATGGAGTTTTTTTATTCTTTCATTCAGCCAGTGAGAGTCTTTATTCTTGACAGTACTCACTAAGTCAATCTGTTTTTTTTTATTATTATTATTATCAAATGTGAATGTTATGGTAATTGAATGAATGTGATCATGACTTAATGAAAAAGTCTGAACTCTTTTTTTATGGTTTCAGTTGGATCTGAAGAAGATGCCATTGGGTAAGTTGAGCAAGAAGCAGATAGAAAAGGCATTCAGTATCCTTGGAGAGGCCCAAAGGTTGCTTGATGAAGGTGGATCAATGGAGTCAATACATCCTCAGATTTTGGACTGCTCCAATCGTTTCTATACTCTCATCCCTCATGACTGTGGTTTGGACTCTCCCCCTCTCCTCAATGATCCTGAGCTTATCAAGGTGGGCAAACTGCCTGCTTCAGTGACATTCCTTATTATTTCTAAACATTCAAGGACTTCTTTATGGCACTTTCAGATAGAAGTGCTTACTTCAATGGAGTTCTTTCTTGTGAAGGGAACTTGGGGGATGTGTTAGAGATTATTGCAAGGTCCAATAACCTCATAAATATCTCCTTAACTCTTTTGGTACTTGGTTTTTAAATGCCTTGCAAGGCTGGTGGACAGTTGTTTTTGGGGTTTCACATGTGCTTGGTTCTTCCATGTTTATAGTGTGCAATACTCTCACAAAATATAAATATATCTCGTACTCATCTCAATAGGGCGTCAGAGTATGATATTCGCTGAAACAGAGCTACACACACAGGGCTGCTGAGGACACCCTTGAAAAATCAAGTGGAAAGGTTCTAGATATACATGTACAGCCACAGTACCAAAAGAATTAAAGCAGTTATTAATATATCTCTGGACTGCTATGGTGGACCAAAAAGTGGACCAAAAAAGAAACCCTGCAAATCTTGTGGGCTCTTTGACTCATGGGAAAAGTCTAATATAGGTACAGCTAGAATTCTGATAGTACCTTTTTTAGACAAAAGAGAACATGTCATCACTGTGAATGTCATTATTCATGGACATTGCTGCATACATTTTATTTTCCAGATGTATAGAACCAGTAAGAACAGCTATAAGTATCCAAATCTCTTATTTCAAGCTGGAGTTTCCCCTCACACAACTTGAGCAACCATTGAACATTTACAGGTTGTCTTCCAATACCTTTGCCTTATGGTTTCACTTAAAATAGTGATAATGAATGGGTTAAGAATTTAAATGTTAAAAGATAAGTATATGTAAAATGCAAGAAAGTTGAAAAAAAAGAAGGGAAAATGGCAAAATATCAAAGGGAAAGTAGTCCAAAGAAACTTGAGTTTTGGAAAACATGGCTCTCAGCCATCACTTCAATTAAGTTTCTGAGTGCCTGTATGTCACCTTTTAGCCCTGTTTAGGGAGGCATTTTAGCCCTGTTTTCAAGTATGTATGCAGCTCAATAAGTACTGCTTACATCACATATATAGTAGCATATGCTCTGTTGGCTTTTTGATTGGCCTTGTGATCAAAGGCCGACTTCACCTGTGTATCATGTCTGACATCCTGCTTTTGCATTTAACTGGAAGGATGACTTTTTTCTGTTTCCTCCTCTGCATGAGTCACATTTGCTTAGCCTTCATGCCTGAATTCTGTAAGATACAGGAATATATTTGAACATGAAGAAGACACATAGTGGAACACACAAAGGAAACCTCAAAAGTTATAACTGCTCAGTTCAAATTACTTTCCTTTTTAGAAAGTTTTTGAAGGTAAATGTTGAAGCAACCAGAGATCAGCATTTAGAGGCAGTTTAGCAAAAATGTCATCCTCAGTCATTGTGAATTATTGCTTTTACTCATGAAGGTGTCAATGAGAATTGGTCCAAATTTCATTGAAATCAGAGAAAGTCATGTTTTGTATTGTGTTGATTTGACATGACCCATAAGTCTTACCATCCTCATTCCTGGAACATTTCAACTCAAGTGGCAAGAAGGATTTGCTTGAGAAAATTCATGCAAGATTACCTCCCTGAGTAATGAAAAGATTCTGATTTTCAACACTTTGGCACCAACAGTTCTGAAGATATTCAAACCAAAAGTTAACCCTCTGGGGGGAAAGTGGCCCCATGGGTCGAATGACTAATCTCTATCCTTAATTGAGCTAGGAAATAGTTTTTGTGCTCAAAATTAAAGATGAGATGAAGTTGGATTTCTAAATGACCTCTAAAGACCTGTATGTAGGTACACCATTGTAATTGCCATTGCAGAATTCTCTGGTCATTTATTCACTGACTCAAGTTGAATCACCCTTTTATAAGGCATTGCTTGATATTTTATATTATCAATAATCTTGTATGGTAGAACACTCTTGAATCACTCCCCAAACATTGTATTCCACTGAATTCAAGTCTGGCCATTAATTTTGGTGAAATGAAGCCTGGGGTATTCTTGTCCTTACTTGCTGAAAAATGAGCACATCAATGGAAACTTGCCTGACATCCAGAACCAATGCTTAAGCCAGAAGTATGTTTTGGATGTAGAATGTTGGTTGTCAGATGGAGACACCAGTTCATGAATGGAAGCTTATTTGTGGATGAGTTTGCATTTTCTGTCTTCCTAAAAAACCTATGCCTGAAATTCATATCCTTGTATGTTTGGTATTTTGCAAATGCCCAATTGTCTAAGTTAAGGATGCAAGTTTTAAAGATTCTTTTTTTAGAATGGCAGGAAATGCCATTCTAAAATCATCCACAAATATGCAGCCTGTCTGCAAGATGACACCACTACCATAGGTACCATCAAATTTTCCTCCTGGCTCCACAAAATGTGTTGTGGTGCTACTAAGATGCACACTCCTACCAACTCATACTGAAAGAGGGATGAGTGTAAACAAGAGAGGAAGCAGCCACTTCCTTTCTTCATGCATCTTCATTGATATTAACCAAGTCATTTTGTTTATTACCAAATCATGGTCACTATATGGGCTAGAAACCACCCCAATGGCTACTGGGAGCCCATTGCAAATAACAGGTAGACAATCGATTAGCTACAGCAATGATTACCTTAGATACATGCTGAGCATTTTGTCATATTTACCTTTTTAATCTGTCATAGCTAATGTAGTAGGGGCCTTTAGAGAAGGTGGTTTCAAACCCCTTGAGTCTTGAATCTTGAGTGTGCTACTGGTTGTAATCTTCAAATTTGTTGCAGACCAAGCTTGAGATGTTGGACAGCTTGTTAGAGATAGAAGTTGCATTCAACCTGCTGAAGGAAGGACAAGAAGAAGAGGGTGTGGATCCCATTGACAGCCACTATAAGAAGTTGAAAACGGATATAGAGGTCCTTGAGCAGTCATCTGAAGAATTCCTTATGATTCAAGAGTATATCCAGAATACACATGCTACAACACATTCAATGTACTCCCTGGAAATTCTTGAGGTGAGTTGACTCCCTTCACATACTCCATAATTTCCATGCATCCTTTTTTTTCTTTTTAAAAACTTTCCCTCACCCAATCCAATCCATTCATCTAACTATATTTCATAGCTATGGTTTGTTGCTCTCAACAGCAGTAATTTCCCACATAGAGGACCATTAAAAAAGGCTAGTACTATTGGCAGACTATCTCATTTCAGGATAGGAGCATTTATTTTGATAGGGAAATTGCATATTTTATTACCACTACTTTGGCAAGCTCTCTCAATTTTGTGATTTTCTGGTTAAAATGATGAGTCAGCCTAAATATGCAAGTAATTACCATGAAGAGGAGTGGCTTGGAAAAATTATTTATTGTAAATTAATGCTACTGGGATTGAAATAATCTTTCTCTTAGCTCAATGTACTGGGCAGCACTTGAAAAACACGGAAATGGTGTAGAAAAAAAAAATTTATCCAGTGAACCTGAGGCAACAGATTAGAATTTCCTGGAAAGAATGTGCTAGCAGACTAAGCTGGCTGCCCGCCCACCCATGTGTCTCTCTTCCCATGAACCTCATTCCCAGGTTCGCAAGGGTTTTCATAGCCTGCTTGACTCAACAGCTAGACTTTCAGTGCCAAGGAAGACATCATCTTTATGTCAAACTGCATTTTGCTTTGGCTCTTCCTTCAAAACTGCACACAATAGGAAAAATTTTCAGGCATCTTAGTTGAACATCTGTGGGTGTACTTTGGTACCTACAAATTTATAGTTTTAATAGGGTCAAGAGAGAAGATAGATGTGTATGTTGTAAGATTTGTACACATTTGCTTCATGTGGAAGTTGAGAAATAAGCACACAAATCTCAGTGCATTTTTTTATGCACCACCCAATATTCTTGCCCTTGGGTTCAGGAAAGAATTCATTGGTCTGTGTGGTAGATCATTTCACTTTCAGTACCATTCATTTTCAAGTCAAAATTTGCTCCAAGTCACCCCACTTTACAGTACTCAAAACCTGAAATCTTCCAAATATTGTTGGAGATGATCTGTTTAACATAAGACAGCTTTTTCTGAGTCTAATTTGATGTAGCAAGAGATTGCTAACTTTTATTGATCAGGTCTTTGAGAATCACTGGCTCATCATCTTCAGTTTGGGAGCCTTAGAATTGATATTGTATGTTTCTTCTTACAGTTATTGTAAAGAATATTGTATCTTTTATGCAACTCAACAAGGTGAAAAATTTGAATAATTTTTTGTACAGTGTGGGGAAAAAAGTATGCTTCCTGTCTTTTCATAATTTTATATTTAATGGTGAATTATTCTTCCCTTTCAGTGCATTGTTGCACAACATTGACAGAAACTGACTTAATAGCAGCAGCATCCTGTTATGTATCATGCATTCATTGAAGAGACATATTTATCATAATTGGCTGGCAGACTGCTTGTCATGTCATCCACCCCATATGACCCCCCCCCCATATGTAAATGGTGCCTTCTTCAGGGACATCTGCTTTATTTGCACTCACTGCCAAGGACTGAGGACTTAAAAGAACATGTACACATTATTATCTAGTAACTAGTAATTATTATCTAAAAGTGATGGAAGATTATTCCCTTTTCCAGGTGTTTCGGATGCAAAGGCAAGGGGAAAGCAAGCGCTTTAAGCCATTCAAGGCCCTTCATAATCGCATGCTTTTGTGGCATGGGTCCCGAACTACCAATTATGCAGGAATTCTGTCCCAGGGGCTTCGCATTGCCCCTCCAGAAGCTCCAGTCACTGGCTACATGTTTGGCAAGGGAATATATTTTGCTGACATGGTCTCCAAATCTGCCAATTACTGCTGGACCAGCCAGAATAATCCCATTGGTTTAGTCCTTCTCAGTGAAGTGGCACTTGGGAACATGTGAGTTTTCTTTTTGCCCTTTCTTGTGCCATGACTTGCTGACTGCTTCTGTTAATCATTATTGAGGCTCCAGTTCTTTCCAAACTTACAGGGGCTATAGGGTAGGGTTGCATAATATATGAACAAGAGATAAAGATTGCATTGGACATGTGGCGAAATTAATATAGTATATTTTCATGCAAATCATCTCACAGACTGGTGAGTAAAAAGTCCTGCCACCTCATGACTGACAGATTAGATAGCAATATGGTTTAGACCAGGAGTCTCAAACTTGTTTTGGTGTGCGGGTTGCATAGCCAAGATCACCAAGACCAAAATTTAAAATTGTAGAATGAAAAATCCACCTCAACCTTATATTGTGTACATTGGGCCTGAAACATTTCTCTCTTGGTGTATGCAGTCTGCATTGAAAGTGCTTGCATGCTGCATATGGCCCATGGGCTGCAAGTTTGAGACCACTGGCTTACACCATACAAAAGTCAAGAATTTCACTTCCACGTTATAAGCTTGAAATCCACAACATTTGTTCGACCTGAGGAATTCTTCACTGAGAAATTGTGGTCTCTGCTGTCACAAACCACATTAACTTTCGAAGCAATTGATAAATCTTCCTGTTAAACAATTCATAGTTTCCTTCAGAACAATCAGTTCATAGAACTCCAAAATGAGGCAGGTCTACTACTGTTTCCATTGTGTCTATTCAAATGGATTTGGACATTTGACTGGGGGTTGGGGGTTTATCCAGATTTTTACTTTTTTTAGTTTCAAGCAGTTCCTATTACATTCTGGTTCAATTTGGAACAAAGATGAACTTCTGCTACACTCTTAGAGAGTCAGTGGTTCTTCAGTCAATTTCCCCAAGTTTCTTTGAATTGGAATAAAGTGCACAAGCAATTCCAGATTTGAATACATTAAAAGAATACCCAAAAAAGAGTCAATTAGTCACCATTTTAAAATAATGTAACACTTGAATTATAAAAGCTATCATGGCAACTCTCCTACCATTAAATAGAGCAGACTTCAAAGTTTTTTTTCTGTGCACTTGGCAATCACTTGATGTCATTCACGTATCAACAGGCAAACAACGCATTAAATTCATGAGTGGGTCATCTCAAACCACTATTCACACATATTCACCAGTGGTTTGTCATGGCCCCCTACTTGCCCTGACATCAACCCACATGACTTTTTCCTTTGGAAATAATAGGGAAAAAAAAAAGGAAAAAGTGTTCAAGAGAGCTACTTGGACAGTCCCTGAACTGAAAGCAATAACAGACTGTGTCTGTGAAACTGACAGTAAGCTGCTGATAGCTTGATGAACAACATGCTTGTACACCTCAGCATTGTTGACTATGTGTGGTTGTCATGTTGAGCATACCTTGCACTGAACTGTGCATGAAAATAAACTTTGAAGTCTGCTCTATTTAGTGGCATTTGAATCAGCACTGTTGCTTGTATGCATAACAAATTATATTGTTTTGAAATGGTGGCTAATTGGAATTAACTGATCAGGAAAACAATGGCATTGTCAAATAATGCAAAAACTTACCTGTAGATAGAGGATGTTCATTTCCTCTGAATGGTCTAAATTGGATCTCAGTCCAGTCTGGCATTCAAAAGTTATCAACATTTCAAAAGGTGGACAGGACTTTTGACTCATCCTGTATAATTTGTTGTCAATTTTAATATTGAACATGTCTTGCATTTTCATGTCCATCTAAGTCATGCTTACTGTGAAAATATCCCCCATCAAATGTGTCTTTGGAATAAGGGAACAACCCCAGAGACTAATCAATTTTTATCCTACTTGTTATTTTAAATGGGCTTTAACTATTCTTTTCAGTCACACTCAAAGGAAATTGATAATTGAACAAGGAGAAATTGCATGGTGGTCAGCTTTTGCATAGAATACTAAGGGTATGGACAGATATTTTCTCTCTCATCTCCTCTCTTATTGCAGCTCATTAATACATCATGTGGATCATTATATCTGTCCTGCTGATGAAAAGAGAAGAATAAAAGTTAAATTTAAATGTAAAAACTCCTTTGCCATCTCTAAGGATACAATTTATTCTAAATATCAAGAGAAGGAGGAGGCAATTTTCAAATCCTAAATGCTGCTTCCTGTCCCCCATTCAATGACAATAGAAATTATGTTTCAAGGTCCTGCTGGTTTGTAGTACAGTTTTGTTGTTACAAATATCCTGCTGCCCTGCAGTTATCAGTCTCTGATTTACCTCTGGTGATGTCTGTACCTTGTTTCCAGTTCTTATATTGGTACATTTTTACCAGGATTTATTACCAATGTGATGTGCTTGTTAATACATATTCTGTAGCAATGATTGCACAAGAATGAAAGTCGATGCATTTTACATGGCATTTACTATGAAACAAAATGCAATAGCAAAACTTCAAGGTGGAAAGTTTCAGAAGTCAGAGAATCTATTTGTTTCCTTTACTGCTTTGTTTATTTTCTGTTCCATACATTTCTGAAAATTGAAGAAGTGTCAGAGTCAATATTTCTAGAGGTAGAGCATGAAAGAAGGTGCTCATGATGCATCTTAGGGATAATACTCTCATCTTAGGGGCCTCAATTTCCAATTAACTCATCAACTAGTAACTGATGAACACCAACTGGTTGGCTGTCAGCCAAACCAAAGTGTCAAGAATGGCTTCCAGTGAGGGGGGAAATATATCAAGGAAAATAGGAGTCTACCACAGAAAGTAAATTCTTCCTTTTCTTTTTTGTTGGAGAACAGAGAGGGGGGATGTATCATGGCAGTTGACCCAAGACTAACCTTTTGCAACTGGTTCATGAAGATAATTTGGTAACCAGTTACACATTTAGACCCATAATCTGCTTTCATTTAATCACAGCACAAAGTGGTCATGCATTATGTTTGATTAAATAAATTTCAGTTAAAATTTAAAAATTTGGCTCATGTAAGTATGACTCCAGAATGTCCCACCTGTAGGATGGTTCTTGAGTGATACAACTGTGTTTGTTGTGGTTCAGGTATGAAAGAAAGCATGCAGAGAGCTTGAAGAAGCCTCCAAAAGGAAAGCACAGTGTGAAGGGGATTGGGAGGACTCATCCTGATCCCAGCCAGAACAAGGTCCTCTCTGATGGAACCATTGTTCCTCTTGGAAAAGGTGTTTCCAGTGGCATTGATGACACCTCCCTCCTCTATAATGAGTATCCTTTTCATCTTCATTCTCCTCAAGTTCCTTATTATGTAGTCTTTTATCAAGGAGAGTTCTACTGACTGAATTGAGAGTGATTTCAATGTTAAAAGCAGGGGTGCTCAAACCTACTGAGCCAACAGACTGCATGAACAGTGACAGGCCACTCTAATCTGAGCCATAACCTAAATTTTTGAATTAATGAAAGCAGAGGCAAACCACCTAACTATCTTTACAGGCATTGCTTAATGGAGACAATGAAATGAGAGACATAAAGTTGGCACTTGGATCACATCAATTACAGAATGTTTGGTTCCTGCTTCAAAGATGCCACTCTTAGCATGACTCACAGGTGTGCATTATGCTTTTTGACCAATTTTTATTCAACTTCATGATGGAGAAGGTCTGTTCAAAGATATATGTTGACACAAGCAAGCTATGAAGATTTGTGAGTTCCTCAGCTACAACAAAGTTTTTATCCACATTTTGAAGAAAAGTCAGCAGCTGAGCAGTATCTGTGATGTTTTGACTTTTGCCTCATACTTGCATGCATTGAAACAGTACTTGATATTTTGAGCCGTTGAGCACATTTTGTTATGATGATTAGATAAGTCTTGCAATTGGAAATTGCTGAAGCACTCAGCAGAGCTTAGGAAAATACTCCTGAACATTCAGTGAACAAAACCTGTGTAATTACAGGTGCCTGACAAGACATGCTGCAGAGCAGGCAAAAGACAAAAACATCAGTTACATGCCTGTTGCTTAAACCTTAGTCATCTACAGATGACTAAGGTCTGTAATTGGGTAGCATTAGTGGTTGACTGGATCAGACCAATATAAGACCAATAAGACTTCCCAGTGCTACATATGAGGAGGGACCTGAAATGGCCCAGAACAGAGTGGACAGAATTGAATGAGATTTTCAATTGCTTTTTTTTTTTTAAGGTAAGCTTAGGGGCAAAAGTATTATGCCACATTTTTACCATGGGCTGGATCTGGACTGCAGGCTGTAGTCTGAGCATCTCTGATGTAACCCCTTACTGTGTTAATTTTTATTTTGTCATGAAAAAACTATATGTAAGTAGTGTTTCACTAAGTTGGTGAATAGATAACTGCACATTAAAGGCAGTTTGGGAGCTTTGTGTCTAATGTGTCACATACTTACTGCACTTTGGCAAAATACAGTGTGACACAAAAGTCACTTGACAAATGAGTAAAAAAAAACAACTATGTCTAAAATCTTTGTTTTTGCTTCGTAGGTGTTCACTAAATACACATTACAATTCGCTGTCGTGAACTTTTTGGCCGTTTTGACCAAAGTCTCTGCTATCTTGATTGAATAACCTGTTTGGAAATCAGTGGATTGGATGGGGTGGACCTGTGTCATGGCCCCCTTGATCACCTGACCTCACTCCCCTGATTTCTTCCTCTGGGGCTATGTTAAACAGCATTGTGGTTCACAGAGAACACTTTGAGCATCTCCACTAGTTCAAAAATAAAGATTTTAGACAAAGGGGTTTTTTCTCATTTGTCAAGTGACTTTTGTGTCACACTGTAGTTCTAACATAATACAAGTAACGCAAATTTGATGGGGTGTGTTATATTTAGCACAATAGGCAGAAAGTGGGTTTTAGGCATTTCTAATAAGTTATGCCAGCAGTATTGTACACAACAAGTTTTTGATGAGAAAAGTAACTCATTCACAAATCCACATTGCTGTGCATTTATGATAACCACCCAGTCAAATATTTCATTGGACACTTCCATAGATATTCCATAAGTCTGCAATTGGCTATAAAGGAAAAAGGTAACCATATAGGTATTGCTTATCATAGAAAACAGGAAGCTGGAGATAGTCTTCCTCCCCTGCTAGGGTGAACCAAGTAGAAAATCAAGGTCAGTGTGAAGTTATTCCATTATCCTTGACAATATGGTATTCCAGATTCATTGTGTATGATGTGGCTCAAGTGAATATCAAGTATCTCCTGAAGCTGAACTTCAAATACAAATTCTGAACCTGTCACATCCTATCTTGAATTAATGTCATCCTTCTTATGTTTAATGACTGTAAATACTGGAACTTTTGTTGCTCATGCAGACCAGAATTATTTCGATTGTGCAGTTGTCATCATGGATACCAACCCTTGCATGCTTGCCTAGAACTCATTTTCATGTTTCAGTATTGTTGCACTAAGCATATTCAGTTCTTGGAATAAACCACTGTCTCTGTTCCTGCAACCAAGTGGAAATCCTCATCCCATTGTCCATGACATGAATCATGTTTGCTGACACAGCAAGTTCAGATGAGTGCACTGATGTTTACCATTGTTGTCATATCTTGTGCTTCGTGTTTCAATGGAAATGAGCGCTCTGCACTTCAGTTTTGATGCAGCCAACCTACATGATTAACCCACATTGCAACAACTGTATCTACAATGGCTGCACCTATAAGTTCAGATGAGCTGGTTTTACTCCCACAGACAGCTTAACGGGTATGCACGTGTATGACGAAGTTGCCTGACATTCTTGCATTCTTCTGAAATTGTTCTGCACTTTTGCACAGTAGATTAAGCAGAGAATGTAATCCTACCAAACTTGGGAAATTCGTTCAAAAGACAAACTAATAGTTTTTGTTGCAAATCTGTAAGAGCGAAATTGATTCATGAATTTCTCTGTCTTTCACCTGACACTATTTCTGTGTTTTGTGAGACATGCAGTGGTAACTTGGAGAATATCTCTACACCTTTCATCTACGAGTATGCTTAGCATTCAAGTCCATCCAATCTTTGAGATTCCAGCCATATTGTCATCTGACATTTACGTCGGACATCCCTGGGGAAAACCGGATAAGGGTTAAGCATGATATCTCACGATTCCCCTGATGGATCTGCGTTTTTGCCATAATCAAATTGATACAATGGGCCAATACACCATTCCAACAAAATTACTGTGGAAAAGTGACGGGTAGGGTAGACTATATTCTCTTTGTCTCCCTGTCGAAACTGCTGCAAGAGCCCTCATGTATAGCATGTTGAATGAAAGGACACAGAGCTTTCCGTTGACACAACTCACCGTGATAACGGCACGTACTTTCAAGCGAGAAAAGAAAGGACTATCCAATCAAGAAAGTTGGAACATTACGGTTTTCTTTCTGCTTTTGAATGGGATATTTGATGTTCCATGAATCCATTGGCTCTGAACAGAGCCAAATCCTACTTTGTGTGCACGACCCAAATGTTACATATTCCTTCTTGTGCACTGGCGTAATGCAGGTGCGATCTCATTGAAATTCTCCATTTGACTCCAGGAACTTTCTGCTCTCAGGTTTAGACTAAAAGTGATCATCACGTCACAAGTATACCAAATCAGATATACAGTATTGGCCAAAATAATATCACCACTACAGTTTGAATGTAAAATTTTAGCTTTTCTCAATTTAATCAAGAATACCATTATTTCCAACAAAGTATATAATTTGTTATGGTTCAGGAAGAACATAAACTCAGTAAATCAAATGTCAATAATGGCAAACACAGCTAAATAATGTGAATGGAGACCTTTGAGTTTCATAACTTCTTGAATTCGCTGCGGCATACTGTATGGCATTACTGACATTTGATTTACTGAGTTTATGTCCTTTCTGAACTATAAACAAGCACGGTAAGCACCCCGGTTTCTGGCCGGTCTTCAGTTGTTGGTCAGTGAGGCTTACATCCAGCATAATTAGAATGCTTGAAAAACGGCCAGATTATCAACATCTTCCCATACGAGAACCTATTACTAGTGTTTCCCGGTGTGCGCACAGGGTGTCCACTTCCTATGGGAGTCTTATCAGCGTGGCTAAAAACTGGGGCGTTTACCCTATAATACCTGTAGATAATACATTGTTGGAAATGATGGTGTTCTTGATTAAATTGAAGAAAGCTAAAATTTTACATTCAAACTGTAGTGGTGATATTATTTTGGCCAATACTGTACACTTCTTGCAAAAAATGCCTTTTGAAGGCATTTCCAACCCTCATCACTGAGGGTTGGAAAAGTCAGTGGTAGTTCTGGGATCCGATAGGGGCCCAAGAGTACGGCTGCTGTCTAAAGTTAAGTAGTGAATCTTCTTCACTAACTGAATCGTTTTAATTGAAGGACTGAAAGGAACAATCAAAGGATCTGCAAAAAAAATTCACGTAAGGAAACTTTATTATCCGTTTTCTTTCTTATTCATCTAGTTTGAGAAATTTACATCCACCATAATGTATCTCAAATACAGCACGAAGAACTCAAGACATTCCGATCACTGGGGCGTGAAGTACCGCACTAGTGTGCCTGATTCTGGAACATTTATTCAGGCTTTTGAACGACATGAATGTAAAATGCTGGGTCAGGGACTTCTCCGACGGGCTTGAAATCTCCATAGGTAGTAATGGCAGAATTGGGACCGCATGCCTCTTTAAGCAATCCGATGAAGTCGTTCAAACGGTGGGGATAATACGACAACCGAAAGTGACTGAAGGAAGAAAGAGACAAAAATCAGGCATTTCAGATCTGTATACTTGAAGACGTAATCACATTATCGTGAGAAATTACTGACTTGAGAGCCTTGCCATGGAGTCTTCCCTTTTTGGCATACTTGGAGTCAGTGGCGTCAAAATTGTCCTCGATGGTGGTTGTGTCCATGCAATAATCCATTGTTACCATGTATGCCTTCCCTTCCTTGTACACTGTGGATGTCGTGATGTCTTTTATGTACTTACTCTGGAGAAAAAAGGGAGAGAAAAAGAAATAGCTTTCAGTAACTAGCCTGACTCATGTGGTCGCTAACCAGCGGCGCAACCAGCCCTAAAGTTTGGGGGAGGGGGGGGTTCGAAGTTCTCATGACCTGTCTTTCAAATGTCTCCGAATGCAAGAAGGCGTTATCAAATCATCAGGAGAGATATACTCAACAAAAACTCGAAACGACGCGAACAAAGAAAATCAAAAGGAAGAAAAATGTTATGAAATGGTGAATGAAATGTTATGAAACGGAATTTGAACACTAAATGATAAAAGCACATTCCGTATCTGAAAAAAGCTGAAAATGAACTAAATTAATTTCGGGATTCATCCCAAATATGGCTGCGCAGACATGTAACTGAAAATTCGTTAAAAGGCGTGAATCACGTACAGGTTATTTGAATTATTGTCCTTCCGTTTTCAGAAAAAATTCAGTAGCGTCCCATGTGCAGGACGTTTCCTTCACAGGTTCACTTTACTAAAGTGAGTTACTACATGTGACTGGCGTGACCTTAACCTTTCACATCCTATCCTTGTGCCTTCCCAGCCCCGCTCTCAGGTCGTTTGCTCATGATATATTTCTGCATCCCCCACCCTTGGAGAAGGATGGGGGATGGTATCTCTCTTCTTGGATGGAGAAGAGAGATACCATCATGAGCAGGGGTTGGGGGGGGAGGGGGTTCAGAGCCCCTGAACCCCCCCCCCCCCTTGGTTGCGACCCTGTTGCTAACTAAACCGATACAATTGAAGGGCTGAAAATAAAAAAGGTCTATCGGCAAATAAAATTCGCTTTTCAAGCTTAAGAAGGGAACATTAGAAATATTCTAGTAAATGGCTTGAAAACGAGGAAAAGCGGCAATAGTACGTAGGCCTGCTTTCTACTCAAATAAATTCCAACTGCAATCTTCAATGGAAGGTAAAGAGGTCTGTGTACATCAGACCAATCTCCCGCTTCTCGAATTTTATTATATTAATTTTATTCTTTTTTTTGGGGGGGGGAGGGGATTATATCAATTTCCCTTTCAGCCATTATCCTACATTGATAAATCATAATGAAACATTTTTATGAACTGTCGTCAATTATTAAAATGCAATAATGGGTGTTTGTAGATATCAGTATATTGTGTAAGGGAGGGTGGGACACCATGGATTTTTACATTTAATTTTTAGTCCTGAATAGTTTTGTTGTGCTGCAAACATACCCAACTTTTGCCCATTTACTGCCTGATATGTTCAACATATATCCAAAGTAGAACTTCAGAGTGCTGTCGGAATCCACACAACAAATTTTCACTTCAGAGAACTTCAATACCTTTTGTGGTATCGAATGATCATATTCCATGGAAATTAAATCCATTTTAAATGTTTCCTGGTGTTGCACATAATTCCCCATCCATTTTCATCTTACCCAATAAAACCAATCCTTTCGTAAATGTTAACTTTCTGTCCCGGGTTTCTCATTGACCTTGCATCTTTCAAATACGCTTTATAAGGTTCGAAAACTGTCTTGTCCAGAGGCTGCATCTTGTGCGAGCAGTGGGGAGGTATATCAAGATAATGATGGCATTTTTCTTGAGAATGGCAAGACTGAAATTCGCAAATGGGCGTCATGATTGCCCGGAATCAAAAGAACTGGGGGTTCTGTAATACATCGCGTGAACTTTTGGATATGCTAAAGCACATGCTTGAAATGTTCGGTGGTCATCCAGCAAGGATGTGCCAGCCCAAAGATCCTTCAGGGACATTACGGAGCATGTGTCTTGTAAGCAATCTCCTGGGAAAGCAACAACTGAAGGAAGACTTTTACAATTAGCCCGAATCCCACGGATAGTTCGACTCGTCCAGCTTAAATAACCTGTCCAACTGGTGCTGAATTTTCCGAAATCGCCTTTTGAACGCCAGGAACTGTTGTGGAACTCATCCTGGTTGTAAATTTGATGAACTCAACTGTGAAAGACAAGAGAATGTTGCAGCATCGTTCTTGATGGGGCACCACGGACTACGGATCGCCCGTGATCCGTGGTGCTCCCTTTTTTCCCCCTACAATTCTGCGAATGGCAAGAAAGCATAAGATCGTAACGAAAAGTGCACCACGTCAAAATTTAGACAAATAACTGAACATAACATAGACATAACAAATAACATAGACATAACAAATAACATAGACATAACAAAACATATCAAATTTAGACAAATAACATAGACAAGTCGAGAAAAAAAAAATTCCTTCATTACGTCCTAAACCAAAATTGTTTTGACTTTTTTTCCCCCCAAAATAAGCAGTTTTCTTCCTTGTTCAAATACACGGAAACAAAAGCACGAAATGACTCGAGACCACTAGAATAAACTTACACGAGCACGAGGAAGCATGCATGTGAATTTCATGGCAGCATCTTCGATTTTCGAGATGCTGCAGGGGTGGTTCATCGTGCCCCGAGGTCTATGGTGCCAAACCCTCCCTTACTGATGGAAGGAGACGAACGCACTGTAATGTATTGTCACGGTAAGGGAGTAAAAATCTGTGACCCTGGTGAAAGGGAGTGATTGACCCCTGACCTATACTTTCAGCCTCCGCCGCTAGATGTCGCTAGCGAGCCCCGGCGATTGTGAATAAAAGGCGTACACGAAACTAAAAGTTCAATTTCCAATTTGGAATGAAATAGCCAGGGAAGCTTCTAGTGACCCTAGGCTGGTTGTTGGAAATTGGAGTGGAAGTGTCCTGGCCCGAAGCCCTAAATGATGGACTCACGATCCCTAAGGGGCTTGCCCACTAGACGACGCCCGGGGAATGCGCCTCCCGCAGTAAAACTTCTCCACGACCAGGAGATGTGTTTATCGGGGAGTACCAGCGGCCTTCCCCAACTCTTTGACTTAGAGTTATCTGATCGAGACCACAGGCCTTCCCGTCTTGAAACTCCACGACCAGGGACCTATTTCATGGAATCTACGAGTTACAAGTTACATATAATTACAAGGGTCTTGTCGTAGTTGTGCGAAGAGTCAGCGGGACTGGCTGGAAGAGTTGAACAAGAAAACACGACCCTTGCAAGTACTTGTAACTTGTAGAACTTGTAAATTCCATGAAACAGGCCCCAGGAGGTAAAGTAGTGCAATCCAGCACGACCCAAGCCCTGAAGAGGTAGGTATACGCTCCACGACCGGGAGACGTAATTCCCCAGAACAGGCCCGACCGCGTCTGAGGGAATTCTCCCTCTCTTGTTCACCGCGACTGCGTGTTGGAACAGCAGACTAGGAGATAGCTTCATATTGTCTATTCGGCAGCAAAAGATACACCTGGTTGAGGACAAAAGATTTGATGTCCCTTTAGCTTTATTTGGTCCTTTAGTCCTTGGGGGGGGCTAAAGGTTGACACGCTTCAGTTTTGTCAGATAAAGGACAGCACATTTCAGTCAGCTGAGACAGATCCATTGGGATCCCGCTTCACCAGATTGAACGAAAGTCGGCAACCCTGATTTTTGGAATATCCCTCCATTCACCATATCTCAGGTGAGGAGCATAAGTGATATTTAATGACCAAGGCTCCCCCTTGACCTGTCACATCGAAGCCGCAAGTGAGTCTTTTGAGGCTGAATAGACTATACCTCACCTACGCTTCGCGATCAGGAGACATAGCTCCCCGGGACAGGTCCTACCGTGTCTGAGGGAATTTTCCCCCAGAGTCCACCTCGACCGCGGGTCGAGACTAAGCTGGCCGAGGCGCGAGGATGCGTTATTTCCCTCGCGGTACCGTCGTGGAAGAGACGAAGGTTTTCCCGACCTCAGCAGACCCCGCCTGATACTCTTCAAGAAGCAAGAACCCCGTCGTCGCCCGTCAAGGAGCGCTCCCCATCCCCGGACCGCCTCGCCTCGCCGAATGACCTGAGCAGCTTGTTGATTGTTGGTTGTGTATATTTGTAGTAGGGCTGTCACGGTAGCAGTTTTCAAAACATCGATGCATCGACCTGAACTATCGATAGTTTATCGATGCATCGGGGGGGGTCGGAGGATTCAATATTTTCTCGTCGCGATTGGGCGTAGGTTTGTCTTCCATCATTTCTTGGCTCGATTGGAGCGCGGACCTCTATCCGTCTTCCATAATCTCAAACATGTGATCGAATATGTGACCTTCGCAAGGAGTAATGAAACCCACCATGCCTCCAATTATCGAAGATTACATCCATTCATTGATGGATGCATCAGGACAGCCCTAATTTTTTCTTATTGCCGTTTAGAATCAGTTGCCAAGCCCGTTCACGTAATTTTCCCCCCTATTTTTCTTCGTTCTACACGGTGTTCTTTGGACATCGGCACCGGCAGATAGCAAACATGGCGATGGTGCAAGACCGGCGGCTGCGAAAACATCGATACAACCGATAATAAACAACGTCCATGTAAAAAATTCACTTTGAGTTCACCTTAGTAAACTCAAGTAAAGAGATAAAATTCTCCGGGAAAGTTAAACATTTTAAAAAGGTAAGCTTGTATACTAAAGAGAAAGACGGGAATACAGAGAGGGGATTAACCAATGTACGCTTCGAAATCAAGGTAGTATAAGAACAGTCCACTTTCGCAGCATGAACCTAATGAGATCGAGCTGAAGACTGAAACAGAAAAAAATTTTCTCTGTCTTCCCTCCCTCTCCTTTCCCACTTCCTGTCACCGATCCGTCATGTTATTTTTTTCCTTCCAGTCTTTCATATTTCCCGGATGGACTGTATTCGCCTTGACCCAATGGGACATTTCCTCTTAAAAGTCTTTTGCTGAAACATCGCGATGGTCGAAAAAACGATCGATAGTGGTATCGATGCATCGATCTATCGTGACAGCCATAATTTGTAGTAAGGAACAGAAACACAGGTTTTATTGTATTGTTACCGAATTCCCGTTGGACTTATTTCCACCCGGACCCACCAAGTCCAGTACCTCCGATACCTGTATTCAGCCAAGGAAGGTTCACTGAGGCTGATGTCAAGTACCCCACGGGCGAAAGGTGCAATACAAAACCTGGTCATCGGAGTCCTCCGCTAATCCCGCGGGATTAATAGTCGGATCATAACGGTCTGCAACCAAGAGAAATTCGGCGCCAACACAAGTGCCAATTGGTCAAAAGAGGTGTCCTCCAGGTGAAAAAGTCGAAGTTTTCTTTTTGGGGGACATTTCATCATCTGTATGTATAACAAAAATTTCATCTGAAAAAAGGCGTCAAGATCTCGAGTGATGAGCTGTAATTGGCCGATTGTGTGAGCGAGCAAAATAATAATTAAATTTCCGTTGGCTAATGACGCCTATTTGCCAGTCTCAAAACACTAGCTCACAACATTGGAAGGCAAAAGACGTTTTCGAAACGATCGAAACAAAGAGTTGAGCTTGTCCAACTGGAATTTGAAGGTGAGGGAAAAAAAAAAGGGTTTTTACATTGTAGTAGATGTTTTTGGCAGGTGTTTTCCCCGTGTCCAGTATGTAGTCGTAGTTGCGGTGGTCGATGAGGAAGATCCCGCCGGGCTTCACGAACTCTGCAAAATTCTTCAGCGACAATCTGGACAACATCATACGACGTAAGAGAGAGGGCAGTGTGAAAGGAACGCCTTGGGGCGATAGAAGGGAGTTCAGAACCTGTGGTCGGCTTGATCCCCCTGGAAGTCTGGGAGATGAGCGAAAGAGTTCCCCAGGCAGATGACGGCATCGAAGCCTCCGCCACTCTCGATGTCCTCGGGTAGGGTCAACCAGTTCGCTTCTTCGATCACTGCAGCATTCGATAAAGCACGATTGCATGTCCCTCACACTGTCATCCCAGCGCATGGAGTCCATTTTTGGTCAATATGTACTTACAGGAAAGTGACAAGAATAAAAAAAAAAAGCTTAGTTTGACGCCTGTGTATTACCCAACGAGACCTGTGGGACATTTTATAGCATAAAAGTATAAAATAAATTCAAAGATAATGATGACTTATTCAACCCTAATACATTGGCTAATTATTTTATGTAAATTCAAGAGTACGACAGCGATTAACCGGTCGCCTATAGCTCCCAAACTTGAGGCGGCGCGATCTTCATCTCACCCTTCCTCGAATCAGAACGCAATTCAAGTGAAAGGGCTTGACGTAAATTCTGTTGAAGGATTTTTGTAAAATGAAAACTCAACTACGAAACTGAAACTGCGTATAATTATATTGTGCGCTTGAGGCTTGAACTTATGTTGGCTCTAAAATCCCACAGGACTGGATGAGTTCAATGGAATTCTAGAGGTTTAATTTGATCGTCAAGTAGAGGTAATCTACCAGGCGTGAAGGTGGTGTAAGATGCCTCTGCTAAAATTGAAAGGTGGTCGAGAGTCGAAACATTTCCTCCTTTCTCAGTCGTATGCTTCCTCCACGGTCAAGAACCAGACTACGACCGTGAGTTGCTGCTGGGGACGATGACCCTGAAGCCGAATCGGCTGGACATCCCCAGGATGAACCCTAACCTTTCATGACATCTACAGGGCCGATCCCATTCCGCTTTTTCCCTAACCACTCAGTATGTCTAGTTGACTAAATTCAGTCTCTTTCAACCCGCCGAAGGTCTCTACTAGTCGTTTCTTATTCGAGTCATTCCCTGCTCAAACCCATTTATACCATGAAAAATAAGGACCTTTTTTTCTGGCTCGTCGCTCGTGAACTCTCTCCAACATTTCGTACAGGAGTGTTCAAACATGAGGAAAATAAAAATAGCAAGGCAACGATGGAGATATGTTGTTTAGAATGGAACCCTGAACTTGCACATGGGGCAGCCAGACGCTCCACCACTCAGCTAGGCCTCACGCAAGGGAGGGCGGGAAGATAAGCTGATTCTCATCAGATGACGATCAGGGATATGGTATTTTCCCAGGTTAGAAGAGTAGATAAGGTTGGGTCGAAAGCGAAGCCCCGAATAATGGCGGTTCTAGCCCTAGGGCAAATGACGTCACTGGTATACACCAGCCTCGACTGCTCCATTCTCGCCATTGGTTTTCCTCCGATGTAATGATATTATTTGAAGCGTAATGTCAACATTTCGTAACCTATCGCTGATTTAAAAAATATCCCTTAAATTGAAGAAGGGAAAGCATCGAATGGGAAAGAGGCGGGGAGGATTCCGTACTGAAAAGTTTGGGGGGGTGCGACTGTAGTGAGAATATATTATTATTTACGGAAATTGTTAACATGTGTCATTTGCCCTTTTGAAATGGCAATGAAAATATGCGTTCATTGTCAGACTTCCTCGTTCTGCGTTGCTGAATCCCCAAATCAGAGGAAGGGAACTTGTTTGTCATGGTCATGGCAAATCATGTAATTTTCAGGAACATCATGAAGATATTCCTTCTCGCAAACTTCAACGAAAGACTTTCATTCCTTTCTCACCTTCTTGCCCTTGCTGAGCAACTCAGAATTTACGAAGAGAATCCAGGTGAACAGCCGCGTTCTTACAGATATTCGGGATACTCGATGGTTGAGTTGGAATTTAGATTGGATCATCTCGGCGAAAGATGACAATCGAGCCCAAAGGTTTGTTTTGGGATCCCTCCCTCAGTCTACTTCAGGAATTTCATTTTCCGCGCGTTTCCACCGCATCACTTAGGTCTTTCACAACCTAGGTTCCTTTGAAACGATGAAACGAACGTTTCACTCCGTCGGCTCCAAAATCATCAGATGTTCTTGCAGGCGGCGACTGCACATCGGACCGGCATCTGCGAATGCTATGAACCTGGCAGCGCCACAATCTAGAGATGCAATCGTTCGAGCGCAATAGAATGGAGGTCCAAAGAGCAAGGCAATATGGCAAGGAAAAACTGACCGATGTTACATTTTTAAAAGAGGAGAAAGACTAGAAAAATGAGATTTTATCAGTCAGCCGAGGAGGGTGTATACCAGTGACGTCATTGGCTCTCTTTCCCCACCCACCGCTGGAATGTAGCCCAACATTTTATACTCTTCTAACCTAGGAAGGAGGGGAGGGGGCTTCCTCTTCACGATGAAGTGGAATACGGAAGTTAACATGTGTCTAGACAATGCGCAGCCACTCAAAACACCCTTCCGACTCTGCTATAGACGTATTTTGGTTTTGCGAACGCCTTTCAGGCGACCCTGCGCGATCGGGCAGGGAGAGATATAAATCGAAAATCCAGTTGATGTCTTTTTCTCTTGAGAAAAATAAATCGAAAAGCGAAAATTGAGAGAAGTATTTCTTCTCGATTTACCGATTTCTCTGAGTGCAGGGGTTGAAGGACCCACAATGTGTCTCCTCACAATGTTTATTCAACTTTTCATCCTTCTTACAATGTAATTTGTTGGAACTCGACTTCTTCATTTCGCTTCGGCGATGCACAGTAAAAAAAATTGTTTACATTCACCACTTTACCGTTTAATGAAAATTTTAAATATCATTACTAATATTATTTAATTACTAAATATAAAACTAATACTTTCAATTACATGTGAGCATTTCATTTCCTGATTCATTGCATAAACGAATTACGTACAGCTAGCAGAATTGGAGACACTCTGAGAGAAAACTTGGAGCTGAAAGACCCCAATACCAAAGTGAGTTTCCCTGATATAAAGGGAGCAAGGCCAAACGGTTGTCACAAAACCATAATGTAAAAAGAAAACATTGTTCAAAGCGTTGAAGACAGGAATTCCTCGCAGATGGGAATCAGTTTTATTTGCACCTCCTGACGCTCCTTGACTTGTATTAAGGGGGAATAATGGCTACGTTTTCATCTAAGGATTTCATCTTGTCCATGCAATTGTCAACGTCGACTTTCCTTTCCCATGACAGGGGAATGGTTTACTTCTTGTCTTCGATTTTTGTTTCGTGCTTATTCTGCCCTGGATTATCCTCGGACGTCCTAGTGTATTATGCCGTACACGAAGGACTGCGGTATGGGAACGTATCGCAGGAGTTCAGAGTGGAGACCTTCAATGAATGCCACGTGAAATGCTTGAGGGACGACCTGTCCCAGGCTTGCCTCGCTTTCAACTTCAGGGAGCATGATAGATCCTGTCAGCTGATTCACAACGAGAGGAGCGATCTTGTTCCCTCAAAGGGGTATCTGGCCTATATTCAATGTGAGTCTAACGAATAATAATCCCAATGAAAATGATGAATGATGGCGTGAAATATAGATCTTGTTGGTCGGGAATGTATGGAATCGATTGCATTTAGGGACAAAAACCCTCCCAACGAAACACAAAGCTATGCGAGAACTCATCGCTTACATCAATTAAAGAAAGCCAGGGGACCGCCGAGAATTGAACCAGAGCCTCCTGATTGCCGGTCATGTGTGCTACCACTACCCCACCGAACTCGAAACATTCGTTTACTCCTCTCCATGCTATCTTACGCCCTATTCTTGCTTGAATGTTTTCAACGAGTCGAATTAGCATTAAGAAGTTTGTCAGGGGCGTCACCAACGTTTGTTCACCGTGAGTCGGTGAATAAACTTGGGTTGGTACTTGTTTCGGTACAGCCCTAATTAGAATATATCTCACTAGTGTCGTCGCTTTACTTCTATGCCAACCCCTTGATGGCCAACATAAACACGTCGGTGCCTATATCGGTAAATAGGTCTGACTAAGTAAGGTTTTGATACCTTGCTCCTAGTTATGCGAGCCGAAAATGCCATTCTACTTGCTCGATGTGACAGAATTTGAGTGCCTTTCAGTAACAATCTTATACGCTAAAAATCGAACGTTCCTCTTTAAAGAAATACTTCCTAGTAGATCGGCTGAAGTGATTGCAAACACCGATGAAGTAAGCATTAAAAAAAAATATGAAGAACCTGGATGTGATAAAGTGCTAACCATGGCACATTAGCAAGGAAGCATCTTCATGCTCATTCCTGCAGCACTTATTGCACATAAAAAAAAAAAAGAAATACATGAAGGCAAGCAACTCCAAAATATAGTTTTGCCATAACATGGGGATCAATGAATGCTAAAAGAACCAGACTGAGCTGGTGAGTGCCATTCAATGACCAGAGAGCAACCCATTTCTCATGCATTCTGGTACATCCTCCTGACAAAGTCAACTATGTACTTTTCGTCACTGGTAGATTAGGTGATTTAAAATACTTTCTCTCTGAAAATGTATTTCAGTCCTTCAAGCTATATAGGGTGAATGCATAAATCAGATGTCCCATAATGCTATGTTGCCAAATGTACATTATCATTGAAAACGTAGTCGCTACAAACCAGTACCAAGACTCACATTCCTCACTTGCATTACCTTCAACCTCATGATGCTTCATTAAAAATATATGACTATTGGTCACTAAGCTAATTGAAACCTAGGCCTAACTTCGCATCGCTTCATATGCCATCGCGTAACCAATATCTTTTTATGTTGCATAGGCCTAATGTCATAGTGGTGGCAGTTGGGAGAAGGTTGGCCTGCGTTGAGCTGTCCAACTTAATTGAGAAAACCATAGACCCATATTCTTTTCGAACTCAGCCATATGTTCCGCGACCTATTTATTCGTGAGTTGTGCCTGATTCGCTTGAACCTGCAGCGGCTACGGGGGTAGCCATGTTCCCACCATGACACCATGGTGGAGTTTGATTGGCTGTTACGATCCCAGTGTTCGAACAGGAGTAAGGTTTCACAATATGCGTCCCGGTCACAAGAATGAGATTATGGAAGACGGATAGAGGTCCGCGCACTGATAGAGCCAAGAAACGATGAAGATTAACATATGCCCATTCGCGGAAAGAAAATATTGAATCCTCCAGCGCCCCCCCTCGATGCATCGATGTTTTAAAAACTGTTTCGTGCCAGCTCTAATTAAAAGTGGTACAAATTCACTTGCAAATCTCGGTTTGTTAAGTGCAAATGCTAGGCCAATAAACGGAGTGTACCTAATGAAGGAACGTTGGGAGAGTGATGAAACTGGGCACTGGAAATATGGCGAGGTAGTCGGGGTATGCCCGCCCTGCGAGCTTAGAGTATCGGACGAAATTGAGAAGGGAAGTGCCAACGTTAGGCATACGAAAGGTTTCCGTGCAGATGCTGTATCAGAACCAAAGCAACGCCTATCGTTCAGATCGAATGTTAAAACAAAGGTTGTCTGTATGGGAACGATGGAGCTCATCTAGACATCCTATCCCAAGTTAGAAGCAGAAGTTCGTGCGATGGAAAGTACCTTGGCCATCAGTAAACAGAGGGAACTTCACTCAAAAGTTTGCAGTTATGCAGAGGTGTATTTTAGTTGAAGGGTAGGTTGGGGGGGGGGGGGACACGACAACAGAGTTAAACCCCACCCAAGCGATATTGGGAGGGAAAAGTAGCTATTGGGTTGGAAAGAAAGTCTTGCAACAATTTCTAAAACTCTTTATAAAAATTTTGAAAGGAATGATGGGCGGGGCTTTGCATTTGTATATGCTGGAATGTTCTCGAAGCTTCTCCCCTCAGGGTATATAAGGCGGCTTCTGCCATTAGTTGGCAGCCATGGCTC